GCAACCCTCAGATAGGGGGGTCCTGTCCCCCCGACGCCCCCGTGATTTCCGCCTATGCCAATAAAGCCACAGCAGAACTGTTGTGCGTTTCCAAGAAATTCAGCGTTGATTCGTGTCTGAATGAATCCGCGTTTTGAACGAATCGAGTGAACCAATGATTCAATGACCCTTTCATAAAGAGAGCTGTTTACTTCATTCCTGAATGAATCGAATGAATGAATGACTCAATGACTTTCTCATAAAGACATTTACCTCCACCTACTGGCAGTTTTAGTTTATTATTTAGAGTATCATAAAGTGATTCTGTCATCATTTACTCACCCCCATGTTGTTTATGGAACATAAAAGAAAATAATGAAGAATGTTGGTAACCAAAAGAAAAACAAGAACAAAAACAAGCTGAGTTTGGTTACCAATGACTTTCATTGTATGAACAAAAAATACTGAGATGTTTTTAAAATTATCTTTGTTTATGTTCCATAGTTTATGTTAGGCCATTATAGCCTAAACGTTTATGTGTAATATGTGTTCAATCAAAAAATATATTTCTTTCTAAAGCAACTTGTTGTAATGTCTACTTGATACTTATTATTATTATTTTCACAGCCAAATTTAATTTGCAATTAATTCGATTAATTAATCGCCACATCATGTAATTACTTAGATAAAACATTTTAATTGACTGACCGCCCTAAAAATTTTCAGGTAGGTGTAACAATAGGGTTAAGATATTTAATTTTTTTTAATTTTTTTTTTACCAATTATCCAAATAATGTTTAGTCCTAGAAAGCTATTATTATCAGAACACGTGAGCATAACATAGCGGTTAGCAGATCAATGAATGAGAAGGCAGCGTTACCAGAGTTGCCCATATACCACACACCATGTTACAGCACAGTAGGGCTATTGCAAACAGAAACAATACTGTACTACATAGATGTTTCCTGTGGGCTCGATTTTTAAATGGACTTTGCTGTTCCGATGAGCATGAATGGTATATGAGTGGAGCGCTCACGGACTGAGCGGAGCGCACATGCATAGAGCGGGATAATAAGCAGAGCTTCACACCACGTGAAAGTGAAACCTGAGCAGTGAACTAATTTTCAGCAGCCGGAATTTCGGTGCATCTATAATTATTGGCGACATCAGAAATGGATATTATATAAAAGATGCTTTTTTGAATATTTTAGCAATTTAAAAATCTTAAAAAATAATTTTTTACACGGCACCCCTGCTTTCGACAGACGGCACCCCGGTTGGGAAACACTGCTCTGAGACACACTGGGACTTGAGAACCAGTGCTAAACTAGTGAAAAATAATTTTTTTGGACAATCGTTTTGCTCTAACCTGGATTATTAACATGAGACAGGTGTGACGTCTAACCTAGACAATGAGTGTCAGACAGGTGTAACATCTAACCTAAACTGTGAGCATCTGACAGGTTTAAATGTACAACCTGGACTGTGTGTGTGAGACAGGTGTGACTGTGTAACCTGGAGTGTGAGCATGAGACTCGTGTACGTCTAAGCTATACTGTAACAAGTGTGATGTCTATCCTGGATTATGAACTAGAAATGTGTAACATCTCACCTGGATTGCGAGCATGAGAAGGGTAATGTCTAACCTAAATTGTGAGCACCATAAGGATGTAACGTCTAACCTTGATTCCATGAGTGTGAGACAGGTGTAATGTCTAACCTGGATTGTGAGTGAGTGAGGTATGACACCTAACCTAGACTGTGAGTGTGAGACGAGTGTGAAATGGTCTAACTTTGATTGTGAGAGTGAGATAGGTGTAACGTCTAATCAGGATTGTGAGCATAGAGACAGATGTAATGGTCTAATTAGGACTGTGAAAGTAAGACAGGTGTAACGTCTAACCTGTATTGTGATCATCAGACAGGTGTAACGGTATAACTGGGATTGTGAGAGAAACAGGTGCAACCTCTAATCAGGATTGTGAGCATGAGACAGGTGTAACTGTCTAACTGAGAGTGGGAGTGAGAGAGATGTAATGCATTACCTGGATACTAAGCGTGTAAAAGATGAAAACTAACTTGGATTGTGAGAGTGAGACAGGTGTGATATCCAATCAATATTGCAGGTATGAAACGAATAAAACAGTTTAACTTGGATTGTGAGAGTGAGACAGGTGTAACATCAAATCAGGATTTTGAGCATGAGACCGGTGTAACTGTCTAATTGGAATTGTTAGAGTAAGACAGGTGTTAACGTCTAGACTAGACTTTAAGTGTGAAGCAGATAAAAACAGCCTAACTTGGATTGTGAGAGTGAGACAAGTATAATGTCTAACCTGGATTATGAGTGTGAAACAGATGAAATGGTCAAACTTGGATTGTGAGAGTGAGACAGGTGTAACGTCTAATCAGGATTATGAGCATAAAACAGGTGTAACAGTCTAATTGGAATTGTGAGAGTAAGACAAGTGTAACATCTAAACTGGACTATGAGCGTGAATCAGATGAAACAGTCTAATTTGGATTATGAGAGTGAGACAGGTGTAACATCTAATTAGGATTGTGAGCATGAGACCGGTGTAACGGTCTAACTTGGATTGTGAGCACGAGTCAGGTGTACCTGTCTAACTGGGATTGTAAGAGTAAGACAGGTGTAACGTGTAACCTGCATTGTAAGTGTGAAACAGCTGAAACAGTCTGTAATCAGGATTGTGAGCATGCGACCAGTGTAATGGTGTAACTGGGATTGTGGGAGTGAGACAGGTGTAACGTCTTAACTTGAATTGTCAATATATGAGACTAACCTACATTGTACGCATTAGACAGATGTAACAGTCAAACCTTGAGTGTGTGTGAGATAGTTATAACATCTAACCTGGTAGGAAGGGTGCAGCAGCCATCTGCTGTCAGTCTGACCTGAGTCTCATAGCTGTCCGCCGGACACTGGACGGGCTTCACTGGTGGACACTCTACTGTGCTGCAGTCTACACTGAACACTGAACACAAAACAAGACATAAAACATTTATCACTTCTCATTAAATCCTGTAATTAACACACCTCATCAAACTCTCATCCAAGCAAATGATTTACCTGTTATATCACACTATAAACTTCAACATACTGTTTACAGTGCTTAAGTCATTATATAATGTAGGTTAAGTTTTAATGTTAAATATAAAAAAGAACAAAAACAAAAATGAAATGGCATTTGCAGCAGGTTAACATCAAACAACAGATCAATCAATAGACAGTTTCAAAGGCAAGTTATGATTACATTTCTATGACATATGAATAATGTGAGCTGATGAATTCTTCCCAATAAGAACTTTTATCAAGTACATTTTCCATTTCATGTAAACTTTTTTTTTTTTCCAGAAAAGTGTAATTTACAAAAACAACCCCAATACATATGTGTCCTATCTACCAAACTGTCTCTGGAAGCAGAACCACTCATGTGTCTTCAACAGCCCATGGCTTTGGCGTGTCTCAAAGGCTTTGGCAAACTCCCAAATCACAAAATCGCTCTCTTTGGTGTATTGGGAAATAATTACTGTTGCTTTTTTATGTTGTGTTGAAGCCAAGAGCCTATCTCTGCTCAAGGCTGCCACATTGCAGCAAAATACAGCATGACAGAAGAAGATATATTCAAATTAAGGTACTATGACAGCATCATGAGATAACCTGCAAAGAATTCAAATCTATCACTATCTGGTTTCTGGCGTGGATTGCCAAGACTCCACAACAATCCATCTATTGCTCTAGCAGGAAAATAATCTGATATTGTAATAGAAGTTGGCAATGCATGCTCTTTATATTTGAGAAAAACCAACATAGAGGAATATTTTACCAAAAAATGAAAACTCTGTCATCATACACTCACCCTCATGTCATTCCAAACATGTATGTTGTTTGTTTTTCATGGAACACAAAAATTGAAGCTCTTTGAAGAACCTTTACACAGTCATTTCCATACAATTAGGGATGTAAAAAATGGACATGATGGGTAGAATTTGTATGCTTTGGCAAAATATTCCTTTATACCATGCTAGTGTAGGCTGGTTTAAACTGGTTTGGTTGCTGTTCTCCAACAAAACTAGACTAGTGGAGCTAGTTAACCTACATGGTGTCATGTGAAGATGGAATCAAGGAAGTCACAACAGTTAACTTAATATTGGACTTTATTACCTGGTTTGCATTCGTAGAGATCACAACACTCGCCAGGTTTGCCTGAGCTCTTGGATACAAGGATGTTGAGGTGCCCGGGCTGGCAAACTTTCCTCAGACACCCGGCTGGGCTACACACGCAGCGGCTGGGCAGGGGGCAACATTCACCTGGTGGAGCATAGCCCTCGATCAATATAGAGTCCTCAGGGCAGCGTGGAGAAAACTGCACCTCACATCTCGCCTTGGAGCAGTCCGGCCTTTCCTCTACAGAGAAAAAGAACACATTTTTGTCATTTCTGATGTTCAGCTATGCTTAATAGTTATTCTTTTCGTGTGAGTAAAAACTGGCAAGTAAATAAAGTTACTCACCAGTAACATTATTAAGAACTGCAGTATGGTTTAAATTGAATTGTAAGAGCGGTAGTCAGACTGTTGCTGATGTAAGTGACATACACGATTCAAATCACAAACCAAAACAATCTATTAAAGCAAACATCTGTCAGGACTCACACCACACATTTTTATCTTAAAACTCCATGTGGTGATACATATGCGGAATATTCCTTGCATTAAGCCTCCAAAACGAAAATATGAGGTATTTGTCTTCATGTCTTCATGTTGTGACAGGTACCGTTTCACCAAGAGACAGACTAGTTTGTCATGTATATGAGCTGTGACACATTGACATGCTGTTTGTCACATATGCATGGAAAAAAATTAATAACCACATTGTCATGAGAACAAAAATAATAAAATTAATTAACAAGACAGTTTCATCTTTAAGAGTTTTTTAAAAAGTCAACAAGGCTGCATTTATTTGATCAAAAATACAGTAAAAAAACAGTAATATTGTGAAATATTATTGGAATTTAAAAGAACACTTTTCTACTTTATATATATATTTTAAATTGTAATTTCTTCCTGTGATGCAAAGCTGAATTTTTACTCCAAAAAGTCGTTACTCCAGTGTCACATGATCCTTCAGAAATCATTCTAATATGCTTATTTCTTATTATCTGTTGAAAACAGTTGTGCTGCTGAATATTTTTGTGGAAAATGTGATACATTTTTGAGGACTATTTGATAAATCAAAAGTTCAAAAGAACAGCATTTATTTAAAATAATGTAGTAAAGACAAAAAAATCTATTTAATGGATTCTTGCTGAATGAACGTATTAATTTCCTAAAAAAACAAAACAAAAACAAAACTTAAAAACCCCAAACTTTTGAACAATAGTGCATGATAATCATAATAACTTTACATGTTTTATATACTATTTAATGCCAATTAATTCTCAATTCACCTGGTAATAGCAGGTGGTAAAAAAGCAAATATACCCTGTGTATTTATATTTTCTCAATTTCGTCCTAAAAAGACGTTATAAAAGTAGAGCTGACTGACATTTCACTGCCTTTAGCAGACAGATGATGAGCAGCTGCTTCACTCCCTTATTTTGAACCGAATATAGACCATGCAGGTCAAAGTCCAGCGTTTTATGAACACACTCAATCCGACCTTCCGTCATTCAAGGCATGATTGCTTTTATTCGTTCTTTACAAGAGAAGAACAAGCTAACAAAGAAGGAAGGCAGAGAAATTTAAAAGGTGCATGTGAGAGACATAAAAAAAAAACCACAGAAAAGAAAACTCATGCTGATATGAATGTGAATGAATGGCAAATGTCAGCAGGAGAGAAACGGCTGGCATGCTGTAATGCTCCTGTTGCTTGTGTGCTGTCTGATAACACTGGGCGGAGGGGTTTGTAACAACTCTAGATGCGGCGCTACATGTTAAAACACAGACGGCAATATTAATACAGCCAGGATGTCTGGTTTATGTAAACAAAGTAGACTGATCTGGGCCATATTATGGATTCTCCATCTTTAAATGCAGTCTTAAAGGAATGGTTCACCCAAATTTAAATCTGGCAATCATCTACTTACTTTTGTTTTATGTTTCTGTGAACAGTAGACTATACTTCATAATACTTTTTGAAGCTTGACAGCCACTCTTGTCACCATTCTGCTAAATAACTAATTTTGTCTTCCATTGAAAAAATGCTTGTTCAAAGTGACACAAGGGTGAGCAGATTAAATAAGTTATCAATTATTTCTTCAAAATCCTTTTTTTTTTGGTTGGAATGACGCTTTCAAGCTTCGAAACACCAAAAGTATTACATTACACATTAGTTTTATGTGAAAAACATACTGAAATTTAAATATATATTCACTGTAAATATTTTCGTCCAGTGAGCAGTTAAATGCTGCAAATGAATCACTGAGTCAGAACTGATTCAAGTTTGGTTTTATGAACCAAATCATTGAAAAGATTGGCCTCTAAGGACAATACTATTTTACTATGTGCAAAGGATTTATGGTTTCAAAAGACTTGGAGAATGTTACATGAGTACCATAAACCACTTTCATGGCACTTTTATGTGTTTTATGTCCATTTTGAAACTTATAAGTTCCCCATTATATATATCTCTCATTCAATGTGAATGGAAAAGAGTGAACCTCACAGTCTTCAAAATTTCTCCGTTTGCGTTCCATGGAAGAAAGTAAGTCGGTAACACTTTATTTCGATAGTCCACTTTAGACATTCTATTAACAGTAAGTAACTTTGCAACTACATGTCAACTAGCAGTTAGTAGAGTATTAGTAGACTGTCTGCTTAATATCTTCTAACACTTTCTTTGTCAACATTCTACTAACCCTAAACCTACCGTCTACTCTGAGAGTTAGTAGACATGTAGTTGCAAATTAATGAGAATTAGTTGACATGTAGTTGACATGTAGTTACAAAGTTACTTATAGTTAATAGAATGTCTAAAGTGGACTATCGAAATAAAGTGTAACCAATAAGTCATATATATTTGGAGCAGCATAAGTGTGAGTAAATAATGACAATTTTCATTTTCAGGTGAACTATCCCTTTAAAAGACGCAAGTATATAATGATCAAACAATTGCTCTGAAATGATGAATGGCAAGAAAACAAAGCACCGCAGGGCAAAATCACTGACATCGTTGACTGAGGTTACATACTACGCAAGCATTACTCTGACACTGATTAATTAACTGCTAAACTAATTAAAGGAGATGTACTCAAGCCATTAAACACACTGTTCAATGCTTTGTTTGATCTTGTAGCAAAATTATATCTGATGTATGAAATGTATGTCTTACAAAGAGGCCATGGCCTATCATTGCCTTTTGATGTATCATGATGTGTTAGGAGAGGAGAGTCCTCCATAGAGGTACTCCTCTTTTGAGAGAGAGGGTGTAATTACCTCAAATGATCAACAGAGAGAGAACATAATGCTTGTGAATTCACAATAAAAGCAGTGAAGATAGATACCTCTTTAAAAAGCTCCTAATATTTAAGCACTGTGTTTATGTGGCATTATACAAGCGCCCAAGGCTTTTTGTTCTCACCAAGGATTTAAGGACAATTATGACAGCATTAATTTTTGTTTGCTGGCAAATGCAACTTGAATGTGAAATGACTTGATACACGAAGATGTGATGGGTGAAAATGAGACGAGAGTGAATAAGTGACATGGTGAAATGTCACATGAGACATGTAGCAGTCACCAAATGAGACAGAATATCACAACACCTTGCAGTGATGGATGTGACATTTAATTTAACAAATGTAATGTATGTATTAGATACTTTTAAAGGGGTCATATGATGCGATTTCAAGTTTTCCTTTCTCTTTGGAGTGTTACAAGCTGATTGTGCATAGATAAGATCCCTGAAGTTGCAAAGACTAAAGTCTCAAAACCAAAGAGATATTCTTTATCAAAGTTAAGACTCTGCCACGCCCCCCTAAAACGGCTCATTCTAACACGCCCCCACATATCTACATCACCATGTGGAAATATTTGCATAATGCGCCCAAATGATCACGCAAAGAAAGAAGGCGTGGTTTCAGGAACAGCAGTAGTGTTGATGCAGCATGTCAGGGAGACGCTGTGTGTTTCAGTGCGAAAGCAAAAGCACTTTATTTGGATCACTTACAACAGAACAGCAATGCATTTTATGGACGACCGTTTCGTGAACCTAGGAGAAGAGGTCATTCTGCCTTTGCTATGACAATCTGGCGCTTCTGAATCAGCTACTGTTTTGTTATTAGTTTAAGTATTTGCTAGGCTTTTTGGGGACCGGAATGATGGTGGAGCGTTTGAAGCAGCAGGTACAGTAAGCAGCTAATGTACAGTATTTGAAAAATAATGTGTTTTTTGAACATTAAAGCATGTCAACATATTCTGTTACACCAAATACACAAAATAATGAACTTTAAAAAAGCATCATATGACCCCTTTAAGGAAAGCGACTTGCAGTACATTCAACGTATTTTTATTAGTACATTATGTGTGCTGACTGGGAATCGAACCCATGACCTTGGTGTTCCTAGAACAATGCTCTACCAGTTGAGCTACATGAAGCAGAAACTTATTTCTTATGATTTTACATACTTGTTCTTGTTATTACAGTTCACACAGAATAATGTGTATTTGTTTCATCTACGGCCCTTAACAATTTAGTATTTTCATAGTGGATATGACTTCATAGTGAATAAAACTGCAGGAGTTCATTTAAAGTTGATATGTTAACATGGGTCTCCAAGTTGCCGTTTAAACATTTTCCAAGAAACCACCGCAAATGAAAGCTCCTCCATCCCCATTCATCATCTGTACTTCCTCTCTCCTCTCAAAATATTCAACAATCCCCAACACATCAACAAATCTATCCTTCAGCTATAGTATATGTGTTCTCTCTCTCAAGAGTGCACTGCTCTAGATAAACAGCCTTTAATTTGGTTTTATACTTGGAGCACAACCCAGCGTTGATCCACAAAAGCTTTGCGGTGTACTATACATAGATCTTACTTGGGAATATTTTTTACCCCTAAAGAATTGTGGGAAATGCCTCAATTGACTACCCCCTAACTGTTGTGTGCTGAAAACATTTAAGAACTTAATGTAACCACAAAACACACTGCATTCAACGCTCACTGATATTGACTACGATATCTAAAACTGACTGGTTGGTGGGGTGCCTTACTAGTTACTAGTTAAGGAAGCTCTGTATAACTGGGCTGGGTAAGAAACTTTACGTTTCTTAGAAAACCAAACGTCTGTCTAAATATGTAGGTGCTATAAAAGGGATGAATTTAACTTATTTGTATGATACCCTGGTATTACTAAAAACTAATAAATGTATTATTTAAAAAAAATACATATATTATATGATATGGAATAACCATATCATAATAAATAAATCTTCCATTAAAAGCAGAAAAAAATGTCAATAAATAAATATCATGAATTACATTTTTCTATTGGACATTGATATATTTTTTTACTTTTTT